TATGTTTGAACATTCTGCGAGTGGGAGAGGGGCAGAGACCGCACAGAGGATCCGAAGCAGGCTCTGAGCTGTCAGTGCAGAGCCTGATGCAGGGCTCAAACTCAGGAACCCAGAGAGCACGATCTGAGCTGAAGTCTGACACTCAAATGACTGAGCCACTCAGGTGCCCTAGCTCAGGTCATTTATTGAGCCCGTGTTGCTGGACATGTATTTGGGGCTTTCATTCACATTCCCTTGAATCTCTTTTTTAAAAAATTTATTTACTTATTTTGAGACAGAGAGGGAAAGAGAGAATCCCAAGCAGGCTCTGCACTGTCAGCACAGAGCACGATGTGGGTCTCCAACTCACACACCATGAGATCATGACCTGAGCCAAAGTCAAGATCAGAGGCTTAACCGACTGAGCCACCCAGGCACCCCCTGCCCCCAACTCCTTGAATCTCTGTGGTAATCCCACGAGGTGCAAGTTCTTGTATACCCATTTTACAGAATGCAGAGACTGAGCCTCCTAGAGGTTAACCTGCTTGCGGTCACACAGCTAGCCGGTAACAACTTCATTCTAGTTGTGGCGACAGAAACAAATGACTACATACAAAGTGATGGCAGGTAGTAATAAGGGCAGTTGAGCGGGAAAGGAGGTAGCAGGTGACAAGAGGTTCTGCCTTACGGGATCAGAGAAGGCCTCTTGGAGGAGGTGATGTTTGAGCAAAGAGGCCTGAGTGGAGTAGGAGGGCCAGGGAGGAAGAGTCAAAGGCCCTGGTCATGCTTGGCCATTCACATGCAGAAAAAGGGCTATCTTGATGGTTTCAAAATCTGGGCACGCAACAAGGCAGAGTCTGCGGGTGGGGGCGCCCCGGGGTTTTTGAAATTGCCTGCGTCTACACACGTGCATATGTGTGCAGGGAGGGATTCCTGGAGGGTTGATAACCAATAGCAAATTCAGAAAAATATTGGGGAAAAAAAAGTTAAAAGGACAGAATTCTCATTGACAAGTGATTCCCTTTCTTTGCTAAGGGTTTAATGTAAGTCCACAGCCAAGAGAGGGTGTGCCCCGTAGGCCTCAGCAGATCGTCACCCTGTCCCCCTCGAGGGCGTGTGCATCTTAAAGCTGTCACTCCGGTGACTCCCCTCCATAGCGAGGTGGCAACTGGCTGGGGCACTGCTCTGGGTCCAGGACTACGGGTGACAGCCAGGTGGTTGTCTGAATCTGTGAGGACGTCAGGTTCTTGGCAGTTGAGGAATTACACAGCCGCCGTGGGGGTGAGGGCATGGAGGGAGCTAGGTGAAGGGTCAGGGGGCCCTGAGGGGTGGCTCCGTCACCCCAGTCCTGGCAGGTGACTACAGAAATAGACTAACACCCTACAGTGAGTGGAGTTCACACATGCGGGGCCAAAATGGAAGGGGGCTGGCACTGTCTGAGCGCTGGGATGCTTTGGTTCAGCCCAGGCTTTATGACATCCCAGCAATACATTCTGGTCTCCACCCGCAGAGGGGTGGGAGACTGGATGTTCTGCCTCAAGCAGCACCAACACTCAGGGCTCCAAGCATTCTTGGAGAGGAGAGCTTGGGAGAGCCGGACCTGGACATAGCTGTCAAGTACTCTACGTTCTAGGCATTAAACTAAGGACTCCCTCGATCTGTGTTAGCGGTAGCCTCCATACTCCCAGCATGCTGGCCATTCTGAACCAGAAGCGGCCCCTGCCCAGGTGGACTCCGGGCTAATGCAGGCACGGCACCTGTGTGCATCTGTGCCGTGCCCACAGCAGACATAGCTGATGGACCCTGGCGCCCTTTACTGCCTGGTGCTGATTCCACCTTAGGAAGCGGCTCTGTGGACCCCCACCCTCGCCAGCTGTTGAAAGGCAGTCAGAGGAACAGGTGTTTGTAACTCTTGTTCTAGAAGACGTTGGGAATCATGAGAGGTTAAGGTATCGTTGAGGCCAAGAGTAGGGGACAGGCACACACTTAGTCACTGCAGCTTTGTAATGACCCATCTGTCAGACACATTGGTCTGTTTCCAGGTGTCAGTTTTAGGGTTTGGTTTTTGTTTTTATTATTATGTACATGTAAGTTATATAGTTCCAGAGTTAAAGCTATATCAGAAAGATACTTAGGGGTGCCTGGTGGCCCAGTTAAGCATCCAATTCTTGGTTTCAGCTTGGGTCCTGAATTTGAGCCCCGCGTCGAGCTCTGAGCTGACAGTGCAGAGGCTGCTTCAGATTCTCTCTCCCCCTCTCTCTCTGCCCTTCTCTCTCAAAATAAGTAAATAAAACTTAAAAAAAAAGAGAGAGAGATACTTAGAAATCTCACCTCCATTCCTTTTTGGGGGAGTCAAGAGTCACATGTAGACTTTTGACGTGCTGGGTGGGTCAGCACCCCTAACCCCTGCGTAGTTCAAAGGTCAAGTCTCTATACAAATATCAAATTGTTACGCTGTGCATCTGAAACCAATGCTATGTTATATGTCAATTATATCTCAATAAAAAGTTAAGTAAAAAAGTGAGTAACTAAATAAATTCTTTAAAAAGAGCGCACATTTCCCTGCATACTCACCAGCACAGTGTGTGCTCAAACTTTTAGATTCTTGCTAATCATATGGCTACGAAATAGTATCACGGGGTCGCCTAGGTGGCTCAGTTGGTTGAGCATCTGACTTTGGCTCAGGTCATGATCTCATGGTTCATGGGTTCAAGCCCCACGTCAGGCTCTGTGCTGACAGCTCAGAGCCTGGAGCCTGCTTCGGATTCTGTATCTCCCTCTCTCTCTGACCCATCCTCTACTCATGTTCTGTCTCTCTCTCTCTCTCTCTCTCTCTCTCAAAAAATATATACACATTAAAAAAAAATTAAAAAAAGAAAAGAATCTAGGGGCAGGGTGCCTAAGCATCAGACTTCAGCTCAGGTCATGATCTCACGGTTTGTGAGTTTGAGTCCCACATCGGGCTCTGTGCTAACAGCTCAGAGCCTGGAGCCTGCTTCAGATTCTGTGTCTCCCTCTCTCTCTGCCCCTCCCTGCTCACGTTCTGTCTCTCTCAAAAATAAATAAACATTAAAAAAAGAAAAAAAAAGAAATAGTACCACAGAGTCATTGTAATTTCCCCTGTCTTTTTTAAAAAAATATTCTTGTTTTCTCTACGTTTTTCATTTCTCATACAGTTTGATTGCTGTGGTTATAGAAGAAAGCAGGCCCTACCTTTAATGAGCCCTTAGGCTGATCAGGGAGGTAGGTCCCCAGACCAATCCATTTCCTTGCAGTATGCTGACACGAGGCAAAGCAGGGACCAGAGAATGAGCTGTCTGCCCTGGCAGGCTGGACGTCATCGGGTGAGGGAGGAAGTGGGGGCTTCTTGGAGAAAGGAGTAGGTAAGGGGACAGGGTCAGTGGGGTGGCTTCTGTGAGGGCTAGTCTAAAGGTGGGACTAGGAGAGATGAGGCGAGGGCTACCCTGGAAGAGCCCGAATCCTGGGCTAACTAAGCCTTTCTTCCGAGGACAACAGGTGCTACAGGTTTAGTGCAGGAGTGACGGGGTCAGATCTGTGCTTTCAGAAGGGACATCTGGAAGTTCTTGGAGGGTAGAGTGGGGTCCAACAGGGAAGCCCGCCGGTAAGTAAGTAGTTGGGGCAACCTCAGCGAGACCCTCTGGAGCAGAGCAGGTAAGCCCCAGCAGGGAGCCAGGTAGCAAGGCTGCAGGACCCCTCAAAGAGACCCCAGCTGTGTCTGTGGAGGGAGGTGTCCTTGGGCAGAGCAAACCACGTCTTCCTGGCGGAGCTGGCCCTCTCCCTGATGTTGGATGGGAATGGCACCCTTTCTTATAGACTCTAAGCTCTGCCCTTGTCTGTGCAGGGAGGCCCTGGGACCCCAGCACAAAGATTGTGAAAGCAGATGAGGGCTTTTATAAAAAAAAAAAAATTATTTTGTTTTATTTTAAAGCTTATTTATTTTTGAGAGAGAGAGAAAGCACGTGCTCAAGTGGGGAAGGGGCAGATAGAGAGGGAGACACAGAATCCCAAGCAGGCTCCAGGATCTGAGCTGTCAGCACACAGCCTGATGTGGGGCTCAAACCCACGAACCGCGAGTTCATGACCTGAGCTGAATTCGGACGCTTAACCGACTAAGCCACCCAGGCGCTCCTAAAAAATTATTTTACTTTGTCCTTATTTGTTGAGTACTTTTAGGACTTAACGTTCACTCTTTCCTTCAGCAAATAATGATTGAGCACCGACTATGGGCCAGGCACTGTTGTTCTAAGTGCTGGGGACAAAACAGGCAAAAAAGTCTTGCCCCCTCCCCTTCCCCCACAGCTTATCCGTACGTTGTAGAAAGTGTGGGAGAGTCTGCGGAGGCAAAAGGAAACAAACCGCCAGCAAGGACAGGCTGCCTGTGTTTCCTCCGTCTTCTGGTGTGTTTCTTTGTAGGATGGCTTTATGCTTTTTAAAGCCACGTGGCTGTGATCAAACTGGAGTCAGTTTTGTATCCGGCTCTTTGTAAATGCTGCCTCGGGGACCCGTGGAACCTCCCATTGTGTGGATGTACCACGTTTATTTACCCAGCCCCGCACTGTGGATTTCAGATTGTTGCCTATGATTTGCTATTGTAGGTAATAGTGTGACGAACGTCTCTTTGTGGGTGAATCTGTTTCTGTCCTTCCTGTTCTGTTTAGGTTAGATTCCAGGTGAGGAGTTCCTGGGTTCCAGGGCAAGTGCTGTGGGTATTTTCAAGGCTTTTACTGATTATTTTACAGAAGAGGCAAGTCTGTTTAGCCCTCCCCTCAGCGGCATATCAGAGAGTGAGGACACAGTTCTTCCCAGAACCTTCCTATGCCTTTGGATCTTGACAACGGTCCTGGTAGTGTTGCCAATGAGCAGACTGAGTTCCAGAGAGGACTTGGGGCTTGCCTGACCTCTGCAGGGGCGAGTCGGCCGCAGGGCGAGGCCACACCTGCACAGGCCTCCCAGAGGAATGCTGCCTCTCCTTTCCCCCTCACCCCCCCCCACAGGCTGTTGACCCCTCCTCCGTCGCCTTGGTGACCCTTGGCTCCTCAAAGGAGATGCTGTTCGAAGGAGGTCCCAGACCCTGGGTCCTCGAGCCTTCCAAATTCTTCCGGAACATCACCTCTGAGGACACAGACAGCATCAGTCTGGCTCTCTTTGGGCCCTCTACCTCCCGGAATTACCAGCAACACTGGATCCTCGTGACCTGTCAGGCCTTGGGCGAGCAGGTGAGAACAGGGCTGTCCCTAGACCCACCTTGCCCAGAGGGAGAGGGGTGCAGAGTCGTGTTGCCTGAGTACCCTGCTGTGCTCACAGCACCATTTCACAGACAGGCAAACTGAGGATCAGCGAGGTGGAAGGACTGAGTAGACACAGGCAGGTTGGTCTGGGGGCAGCAGCTGGGACCCTCCTGACACATGGCGGCTTTGCTAGAGCCAGTCAGTCTCAGCTCCCTCTCCACTAGTGGGGGGACTTCTTGTCTCTCTGGACTGCATCATTTCCTGCCACCATATCAGAGGACGGGACGAGATCGGGGGTCACAGTCAGAGGCCTCCGGGGTTCAGGCGGATATCATAAACGAGTGAGGCCTCAGCCCAGATTTGGCAGATTGTTTTTGGTGTTTCAGGATAAGCCAGGAATCCCAGTAGTTTTTCTTCTTTTTTTTTTTTTCTGTGAAATCTCTTGATTTTTGTTTTTCACAATGCTGAATGAAAACCGAAAAAATTAGGAGACTGGGTGGACCAAACACAACACGTCTGTGGCCAAACTCTCCTGGGGCTAGAGCCACACCAGAGCCCCTGTGTGAAGGACTGGGCTGGACGGGGTGGCAGCTTACCCATCCGGTCCCTGTGCCTGGCCCTCCGGAGGCTCAGGGCCGCCCGCCAATTTGCTTCTAGCAGGGATGTAGCCCTCCATTCACAGGGTGCCCTGGAGCCGGGAAACAGAAAGAGGGTGGGAGGCCAGCGTGACCCAAGAAAGAAGGAGAGGGGCGCCTGGGTGGCTCAGTCGGTTGAGCATCCAACTCTTGATTTCGGCTCAGGTCACGATCCCAGGTTCGTGGGTCGAGCCCCATGTCAGGCTCTGCACGGATCATGGAGCCTGCTTAGATTCTCTTTCTCCCTCTGCCCCTCTCCCCCACTCTTGTGTCCTCTCTCTCTAAAATAAAATTTAAAAAACATTAAAAAAAAAAAAAAGAAAGAGAACACATGTCTTCAGGGAAGTGGAGAATCCCCTTGCATGTGTAATAATGTCAGCTGGTGTTAAAACACACATACACCCTCCCCCCCCAAGGTACCCTTTCATAAGGGTACCCCAAGCTTGCCGCACGGAGACTCCCTTGGTGTGAGCAGAAAAGAAAAGTGAAAGACCCTGATTCCCGCTGGCTTTGTCTTTTTTAACTAATAAGTAAAAGAAATGTAATAATACCATGAGGAGAAACCCAGTCCAGAACTAAGCTAGAGAGCTTTCTTCTCCCTGACTCGGCTTGCTCATCCGCATCCCCCCCGGGCCATAGGGGTTGGGCCTCTGAACAGAGGCGCCTCTGGGACCCTTCCACTCCCGTGTGCCTCAGTTCCTTGGGACGTCGGGGTGGAGGCCGAGAGCCTGCAGGGCAGCATGGAAACCGCCCTCCGTCCTGTCTCGGGATCAGGAAGGCTGAGGGGCTCTGGGCCGGACCACGTGTCCTAAAGAAAGTGCGTGTCATTGCAGGGGCCTGGGGCACTCTCTGGGGATGGACCGTTAGCTGCGATCATGAAACTCGGGCCTGGGCTTGATTTCTGATGCCCCAGCTCTCAAAGCAGACTCAAGCTTCCCTCTTTTCTGGCACCTTTAATTTTGGCCTCTGCAGCGGCCAGCCGAGCTTCTCTCAAGAAGGAAGGTGTGCAGGCTGAGGCCCCCCACGGCCCTTCTCCCGTCCGGCTGCCATGCCGGCCTCTGTCCGTTGGCACATGCCCTCCCACACCTGCGCCTTGCTGTGATGAATCCTCCAAAGTCAGTGTGGGCTCCTCCTTTAGAAAACCCACAGGCTTGTGAATTCGCTCAGTCAACTATGAGGTGTTTGCAGGGTCCTGCACAGCCGCGAGGCGTCACCGATCCGCCTCCTCCCTGGCTCACGGAGCAGGCGGCGTTCGGCCGGCATTCGTAGAGGGCATCAGAGCCCCTGCGGGAAGGCCTCTCGCAGGTTGAAAGAGCACGCTGCCACACATATGTCACTGGACCTTTGTAACCCCCTGGTGGGGTAGCTCTCACCTTCCCATTCTACGGAGCAGCAAACCGAGTCCAAGGTTGCTGGGTGGGGAGGCCAGGCTCACGGTGGAGCAGGCACTCGGACCCTGAGTGCTCCTGTGCCCCGCCAGGTCATCGCCCTCTCGGTGGGGAACAAGCCCAGTGTCACCAACCCCTTCCCCGCGCTGGAGCCCGCCGTGGTGAAGTTCGTCTGCGCCCCGCCCTCCAGGCTCACCCTGACGCCCGTCTATGCCAGCCCCCAGCTGGACCTGTCGTGCCCGCTGCTGCAGCAGAACAAGCAGGTGGTGAGTGGGCAGTTCTCACGGGGGGCGGCGGGGGTGTGGTGACGAGGACGGGTCAGCACTGTGCCACCTCCCCTCCGTGCACGGGGCCTGCTTTTGTCCGGCTTTTATGTATCGGGGGGCTGTGTTTCAAACGTAAATGTGGGAGGGGGAAGAAAGTCACTCGGGGGTTCTTCTGACGAGCGGGGCTGCAAGGTGTACCCATGGGCCTGGAGCACCTGGGCTTCTGGCCAGTCTAGCCCTCCACGCCAGGACACCCAGAGATCGGGCGACAGATGTGGAGGACTTAGAAGCCCTGCTGTTCAGGGTCAGGGGTACGGACACCCTCCCGGCCAGCCCCAGCCCCCAGCCCCTTCACAGAGGCGGAGACTAGGCAGGTTTCTTTCCCTTCATTCCTTCACCGTGTATTTGTTGAGCACCTTCTCAGTGTGAGGCACAGAACTCGGGGTTCTAGAATACAAGAGTACTCCAGTTGGGGAGACACCTGCCCCACGGAGGTGACAGCAAGAGCAGGAGGCCCGCAAACAGTAGGCAAGACGGACAGTAGGTGGGAAGTGCCGTGGAGCAAGTGAGGCAGGGTGCGGGACGGCTGCCACGGGAGGCCGCTTCAGATGGAGCCAGGAAAGGCCTCCGTGAGGAGGGCACATACCGTGTCAGGAGATGCCAGCCGAGAAGAGCTGAAGGAAGGGTGTTCCGGGCAGGTACAACAGCAAGTGCAAAGGCCCTGAGGTTAGCCTGGGGTCTCTGCATCCCTGCTGCCCACGCAGCAATCAGAACCATCGTGTGTTCTCTCACACAGCTCTCACCTGTGTGCCTTATTCCCCATCGCCGGACCATCTGTGAGGCCAGGCTCATTGCATCCCCTTCATGAGTTTGTCCACGAGGCCCGGAGGCGGGCAGGGTCCCAGAGGCCCTACATCCGCCCGGCTCCCAAGTTTAGTGCCCCCTCTTTGGTCCTCACAGCTGCTTCTCTTCTCCCGGCCCCAGCCCTGTGATCAGCTCCTCCCCCCCGCTCCAAGGCATGTCCAGCTGCCCCCTTCCTTGGTGGCTCCTGAGGGCCCCGTTCTGGGGATGGGAGCCCCTCACCTCTTTGCTGCTTGCCCTGAGAGCGCTCAGCACATCTCCTCTGTGCACCTGACGGAAGCTTTCTGAGGCTGTTTCTGTGGGCAGCCTCTCCCACCACCCGCAGAGAGATTTGGGATTTGGCTCCCCGTGGGTGAAGCAGGAGGATGGCTTTGTGTTTTGTTGAAGTGCATTTCTTTGATGCTCTGCGGGAGGTCCCAGACTCCAGTGTCTAAGACTTGGGACCACTCCTGCCTGTCTGGCATGTGACTCTTGGCCTCCATGTCCCCTGCGAGTTTAGTTAGCTTTTCTTCCTGCTGTTCTGGTGGGCTTCTGTCTTCTCACAGGCTTTCCTGATTGCTCAGCTCGGAGACACATGGGCGTGTGAGCCCCTCTACTGCCCCCAATGCCGGTCCCTTACGGGTCAGTGCCTCCACAGCATCAGTTACAAATGAGGATGCTTTGTGCCCAGCGTCGGGGCATTCTCCCACCTACCCCGTGGGGGCCGGGCACCCATATTCCCTCTTGACAGGTGAGGAGAACTGGCCCCGAGCCTAGAGCCCCTCTGGAGGCTTGTCACCGTGACGCCTCATTTACCCCTAGCTCAGGCCTGGGTGTTACTGGAAGGGAGCAGGTGGCTGTCATTCCCAAGCTGAAAATCTGTGTGTTCAGGACTTTTCTGCCTCCTGACTTTGGGGGCTGTTGAGGCGAATGTCCTGAAAGGGTCACATTTTAAAACACTTTTATGTATTAAAAAAAATTTTTTTTTAAATGTTTATTTATTTTTGAGAGAGAGAGAGAGACAGAGCATGAGCAGGGGAGGGGCAGAGAGAGAGGGAGACACAGAATCCAAAGCAGGCTCCGGGTTCTGAGACATCAGCACAGAGCCCGATGCCGGGCTTGAACCCACAAGCTGCGAGATCATGACCCGAGCTGAAGTCGGATGCCCAACTGACTGAGCCACCCAGGCACTCCAATACTTTTATGTATTAACAAATTACCTCTTTATAAAGAGTATAGTCCTGCTAAGTCTGGACTCTTCTGGAAAAGCCACTCTGCTGGTCCACCGAGTGTGAGGTCACAAGCCAGACAGCAGCTGACATCAGTAGGCACTGACAGCTGGGCCTGAATTCCTCCTTGAATGACAATGGGTGACAGCGGTCCCCTAGGGTTGTAGGGGAGAAGCGTGAGTGGTAAATGTTACACTTTAACCTTCTCCTCTGCTTAGACCCAGCCAACAGCTTCCTGCTCCCCCAGAGCAAAAGCCAAGCCCCTTCTATAACCCGTAGTCTCTGAGCTCCGGTCCCCATTAATCCACCACCCTGCTCTTCCTGTCCTTGGACACCCTGTCATACCCTGAGCATACCAGAACGTGCCCTGCATGCATCCCGAACTTACTGTCCCTCTGGCTTCTCTCTACTCCTGTGTCCCCAAGCCTCCCTCCCTGCCTCCTTCAGTTTTTTATTCAAATGTTACCCCTTGCAGGTAGGGAGTCCTCAGCCTTTAGACCTTACCTAAAGTTTCTCCCTTCCCTCAACATTTCATATTCCAGTTCCCTGTTCCCCTGCCCCCAAGCTCTGCACATCATCTAATGCTGTAGAATTTACATATTTATCTTATTCTCTGCGAGTCTCTAGAAAAGACCTCAGCTCATGCTAGGAGCTCAGTAAATGTGATGGATGAATGAACACAGAAACATGCACACCATGCCAGTGTCCCTGTGCCTTCTGGCCCTGACTCTTGCAGGCTCAAATGTCTGGAGAAGCCAAGCGGGGCACTGCTGAAGAAAGGGGGCTGGGGGTAGGGGGGTGGGTGGTGCAGGCCTGGAGAGCAGGTGCCCCTCCATAGTGACGGTCTGCCCAGCTCGACTCTAGCCCATTGAACCCCAGGCTGGTCAAACCTTCTTATTTTCAAAGAAAAAACCAGGCAGATCTATATGTATCTTCCCTGTCTTTGCACGTCGGGCATTTGCCAAGTGAGCCGTGTCTGGCCGTCTGTTGGCTGTGACCTCTGGGTCAGCGCGGGGTTGTCTCTCTTGACGGAAAGACGACAGTCAAGGCAGCAGAGCACGGATCTGAATTGGCTTGCGTGTGTCGTAGATCCCGCTTGCCAGGAAATAATGGACTTCAAACACAGAACTGCCGTGTGATCCATCAGCCCTGGAGTTCCAGAGCTGTGAGCCGATCGGGCACGGCCCCTGCGATTTATGATCTCACTAGGGGACCTTCAGAAAGCTGTATCCCTGCCATGCATCCTGGGTACAGTATCAATTTAATTTTATACCTCTCCAAAGCCAGAGGCCACCCGAGACGTGTTTGCTGAGTAAATTACTGGCGGGGCCACACACCAGAATGGAGCTGACCAGTCAGAGTGACAAAGTGGAACCAGACTCCGGCCTGACCCCAGCCCTCTGCACAGGTCGTCCTGTGTTCAGCTCACTATGGCTGAGCACCCGTCGTGTGCCAGGAGACTGATTAGCGGGGGCTCGGATGGAGCCTGACTGGTGTACCGGGGAGAGGCCTCACGGTCAGGGGAGGCCTGTGCGCTTTAAAACCAGACCAATAGTGTTCCACCCCTAAACCTGTGCGACCTCGGGCAACTTGCTTAATGTCTCTGAGCCTCCGCCTTCCCATTTGTAGAATGGGGATGATGCTGTTCCCTCAGATGCCCACTGGAAGGATCCAAGCATGCTTGGAGCAGACTGTTAACATCCTTCCCCGGGAGCACAGGGGGAGGGAAGGGCATCGGCTTCCCACCCAGGACGCATCTCGGGGAAAGAGTGGGGCCACTCCCGTCCCTGCCCGTGGTTGTAGCTCCTGACCGAAGCCAGCATCCCCAGTTGATTGGGCTGTGACCTGCAGTGAAAATTTGCAGCGTGCTTGGGCTCGGTGTTCTCTGGGGGCAAGAGAGCTAGAAGGACTTGTGGCCGAGCCCTCACGGTGCTGGTCGGTAGTTCGGTGACAGCATCGGTCTGGACAGGCGAGGCGAGGCTGCGGGAACAGACAAGCACAGATCGCGGTGGATTCACACAGCACGGTTCACTTCTTGCTCATCCTGCGTGTGCACCGTGGTGGCGGGGGTCCCTGCTTCATGTCGCTGTTCCCATCCTTCCAGGGCGTGGTGAACGTGGTTGGGTGCCACTGCAGAGAGAAGGAGGCGGCACTCCCTGGCGGGTTGTGTTCTGGCCGTTAAGGCTTCCCCCCGGAATTGTTGTCAAGTCCCGTTTCACCTTTCACGGGTCAAAGCAAGTGACACGGTCACTCCTAACTTGCAAAGGCCAAAACAGTGCGGTCCTCGCTCCTGGCCCCGTGCGTGCATCGGTGGGTACGCCGGGGGACACTGCGCACGACTGCCCATGTCCCTGCCTGCACGTTTGTTACAGTGAGCCGACCTCTTGCAAATGGTCTCATAGGACCCTTGGTTAAAGCAGAGTCCTGGGAGGTGGGTCCTGTTGTGACTTCCACTGGCTTGCCTGGGGTGGTGACAGGCCGAGCTTCCAGGCCAGGCAGGGGGACGCGGATGCCTATGTACCTAGGGTCCCTGCTTCACTACCTGCCCCACCTGCCCCCTTGCCAGGAGGCGGGGAGGGTGGGGGATGAACCAGCATCTGGGAGGAAGGAGGGCGACTTGGCTTGGGTTGCTCAGGGCGGGTTTGCCTGGGGAGCAAGAGGTAATGGTAGAGTGGTTAGTAATTCAGGGTTTGGAGCTCAACCCCGAAGGGTGTGCCACTCATTCTCGGAGTTGCCTTTTATTTGTTCCTTTTCTTCCCTGGGACTCTGCTTCCTCACCCTTTATATAGGGACGACAGCTCCCATCTCATTGGGATATTTAAGGATCAGGTGAGAACTTGGCTCTGCAAGGAGCCTTGCAAGCCGAATGGCTCTGGAACATTTTGGAGATTGTAACTGGTGTTCCTATGAAACCCAGGTGGGGGCAGCCTTCCTCTTGGAGGGGCTTGGTGGGGCAGGGAGGAGGTAGCAAGGATTTGGAAAGGTGAGGCCAAGAGAGGAAGGAGAGAGCAGCCTGGCTGGGGGAGGGCTCTAGGGCGGGGTGTCTTGACCTTGGCACTCCGACCTTTGGGGCCAGATCCTTACTTCTTGAGGGCTGTCCTGTGTATTAGAGGGTGTTAGGCCGCATCCCTGACCTCTACCCACTAGATGCCTGTTGCACCCCCACCCAGCCATAAAAATCAAAAATGCTTTCAGATATCGCCAAGGCCACCTTGAAAGGGCAAACCGGTCCCCCCTAGAGGACCACGGGGTGGACTAAGACACCAGGTTGGACCAGCCTATGAAGCATCTTGACTGCTGCACAGCAGTAGTCAGTGACTTGCCCCCCTCCATCGCCAGGATGCCGGGAGCCCTTCCGAAGGCAGTCAGCCAGGTTCAGGGTGCACCACATGGTCAAGAGTGGCTGTGCCCAGGCCTGGGCTTGGCCACGACGTCTGACTTTTGCTTCTCGCAGGTTCCAGTCTCCAGCCACCGCAACCCCCTGCTGGACCTGGCCGCCTACGACCAGCAGGGCCGCAGATTCGACAACTTCAGCTCTCTGAACATCCAATGGGAGTCGACCAGGCCGTCGCTGGCCAGCATCAACCTTGACCTGCCCATGCAGCTGGTGGCCCGGGACGATGGGAGCGGCCAGAAGAAGTTGCACGGTGAGCTGGGTAGTGAGCCCGACGACCCAGGTCAGGAGGACAGGGTGTCGTGAAACCCCAGACAGACGAGAGGGGTGCTGAGGAGGGCTGGCGGCTGCTGGGGGCTTTCGTCGGGGACTCCCCTTTATCCAGAACGGAAAGGAAGCAAGTTCACTCCTCTGCTTTGATCCTGCACAGACGTTCTGTGAGGCAGGAACTGGAATGAATCTCTATTTCAGGGATGGGGACACGGGCTCAGGGTGCACGGCAGGTGAGTCTCCCATCCCCGGTTGTACGGATCAGCCAGCCTCTGGGACCCGTGCTGCTCTGAGTCATGCTGCCTTCACAGACCCCTTGGCAGCCACACATGGAGTCCCGTGCAGCTCCCCGAAGCTGCTCAGGGCCCACTAACTCTTATGGTGCATGCAGTTTGAACAGACTCAGTGATGTATGTTTAGGACTATGGAGATTTAAGACTGCAAATCACAGGGAGGCAGGGGGCAAAACCCGACACCCGCTTTCCTCTCCCTGGACTCAGGTTTGCAGGCCATCTCGGTGCACGAGGCGTCGGGAACCACAGCCATCTCCGCCACCGCGACTGGCTACCAGCAGTCCCACCTCAGCACGGCCAGGGTGGTGCAGCCGGTACGTCCCCAGGCCCGCCGGTGGCGGGGAGGCCCCCGCGTCTGCCCGCATCCTGTCCGGCCTCCCAGTGTCCTGAGCCCCTTTGCTGGGTCGCACCCTCTGTTCACTAACCCATCCCTGAATCGAGCGCCTTCCCTCTGGCTTCTGGCCGCCAGTACCCCTGCCCCACACGCCTGGCATTCAGGCAGTCTGGCCCTGTCACTTCGAGGCCCCGGTGCACAGCTTTGGGAGCCCTCAGCCTCGTCTGTCCAGCCTGTTTCCCCCTGTCCCCCGCCCGTGGCCCTGACCTCAGACCCCGCCCAAGGTTGTGCCCGGGTGACTCGGGCTTCTGTGCCTTTGCAGCTCCAGTCCCCACTACCTGGAATGCTGTCCCCTCACTCCCTTACTTCCTGTTTGTTAGGCTCAGCCACAGTGTCAGCCTCTGGGAAGCAGTCCCTGAACCCTGGGCACACAGTAGCTGCCCAAGGCCTCAGATCCCCCTGTGTGCCCCCTGGTATGGTAAAGACACCCCTGCACATACAGACTGTTGCCATCGTCTGCGTATGCTTGGGTCAAGGCCCGCTGACCCTAGCCTCCCCACCCCGGCATCTCATGGGCCCCCCGCAGAGGCACTGCTCCTGGGTGGCAAATGGGTGCATGGAAGGGCTCCCCAAGAGCGGTCCTGCTGAATGATACCCACACCAACGTGGGTTTTGAGTAGGGTGAAGGCAGCAGATAATGGCTGGAAGGAGAGGGTGGGATGGGGTTCCAAGGGACCCTAAGTTCCAGCAGATGGGGCTTGAAATGGGGAGCAAGGGGGTGGAGACCCCAGTGGGAGCGGCACTGAGGCTGGCCCTGAAGGAGCACACCTACGCCCCTGGTGGCTTCAGCCCTGGGTTGTCTGTCCCCACCTGCACAGGGAGTCCTTTGGCTGTGGGTGGCCTCGCGGGCCTCCCCCTCCAGGGCATCTGCACTTAGGCTCGTTGGCCTGTGGGCTTTTCTCTAGCAGTACTGCTCACGCCTTCACTTCTGGGTGTCTGCTCATTTGAGAGTCCCCCCCCCCCCCCCCCCCCCCCCCCCCCCACCCCCCTCGCCCCTACCTGGCCCTTCGCCGCCTTCACAACCTGTCCTACGCACTGACACAGGCCATTCGTTTACTGTCCCTTGTAATGTAATCCTGACATTGGATTAAATTTGCATCATTGCCTGAGGACCACTGTGGAACCCCCAGGGCTAGCACAGGGCTGGGCGGGGGCGGGTGCTGAAGCAGGTGAGTACAGGGCCGGGTTGGGTCTGGCAGTCTCCTTGGAAGGACAGGCAGCAGCTTCGCATACGGATACGGGCAGCACCCAGGGGAGTGAGGGCTGTGCTGCATCCCCCATGAGCCCCCCGTGAGGACACCTCCACGCCTCCTCCTCTCAGCACCTATATGCTGTTTGCCCATGTCCCCGTCCCTCACACAGGGCACTGCAGCAGGTCATCTGCTGTGCACCCCCACTTTCCTGAAGTGCGTGGGAATCACCACTCTCATGGGGCCGAGCCACCTGGGGTGGGGCACCGGCCTTGGCAGAATTCTGGTTGCCTCAAAGCAATGTGTCCTCTAAGCTGGGCTTGAAACGTGATGGTTTTACTGGGGCTTATGTCCCCAACATAATGAGTGCCCTGGGGGTGACGCCAGGACCTGGGGTTTCTATGCTCCTTCAGGGCAGGGGTCGGTGGGGGGGGCGACCCGCAGACTGGCCAGGTTTGGGCCGTTGCCTTTGGATCTAATAGCACTGCCTCACCCCTTCAGCACGACCCTCTCACGCCTGTGTCGGCCTCCATAGAACTCATCCTGGTGGAGGACGTGAGGGTGAGCCCGGAAGAGGTGACCATCTACAACCACCCCGATGTGCAGGTACGGTCCCTTCTACCTGCCACCTGGGCGTGACCCACAGGGGAGCCTCGCCTTCGACACCCAGGCCCACCCTTCCTTGCAGGCTGAGCTGCACATCAGAGAAGGCTCTGGCTACTTCTTCCTCAACACCAGCACCACAGACATCATCAAGGTGACCTACCAGGAGACCAGGGGCGTGGCCACGGTGAGTACGGGCCCATCTCCACCGTCCTTGTCATCCCTCGTCTGGTGGCCTTGTGGTTATCAGATTGGTTGTGTCAGAAGCAGACGCTCAATCGCAGCAGATGCGACTTGTAACGTCTTTAGAGTCCCTGATTCATTGTTCGCGAAACTTCCATCATTTGTGACTTTTGTTCCTTCTCTGCAAACTACCCACACTCTTAGTTAGCTAATGGTTTCCTGTCAATCAGTCTTTGAATTAAAACATTATCATGTAAACACAAGTCTGACAACCGTAAGGAAGATTGCTTTTTTTAAAACAAAGTTTACTGATTTACTTTGAGAGAGGGAGAGAGAAGAGAGAGTGGGAAACAGGCTCTGTACTGTCAGCACAGAGGCCAGCACGGGGCTCGGTCCCACGAACTGTGAGATCGTGACCTGAGCCGAAATTAAGAGTTGGACGCTGAACCGACTGAGCTGCCCCAGGCGCCCCAGGAAGCTTGCTTTTGAAAGATGTATCTGCTTTTTGTGTTTTTCCATATTCCTTCCTTGACCTTCTTCCTATTCTTGCAAATATTGACTTAGCTGTGCCTGTGATATGGAAGAATTTAGTATTCTGCTTTGGTCACTGGTTATACCCTTAGTTTTTTTCCCCCCCCCGTGTTGCTCTGTAGGCTGGCTGATTATTTCTATGCTATCATTTGTACTTAGCCATTCTCTCTTTGTAGAGCATTTCGGTTGTTTAAATCTCTCTCTCTCTCTTTTTTTAAATAGCCCTATAGTTGTAGCAAAGGGTAAAAACAAACACCAGTATCCTAAATGTCTGCATATCTGCACAATGAGTTATCTTTGCAGTTGTGAAAACTGAACTTCCTTTAAAATAAACTCACTACGGAATGTGTCAGAGAACGTATCAGACCACTACCAGAAGTCATAAATGTAGGCGGCCAAGAACAAAGACATGACACCTAAGTCGTGTCATTAAATTGCCACAGTGCTGTTGCCTTTGGGTGGTTCCAGAGGTCCTTTTCTCGGTTTGCATTCACTCACCATCTTGACACGGGTGTCACAAAATTATTTGCCTCTGGAGTGGGATAAGTGGAAAGTAAATGAGGGACATGAGCAGGGTTTCCCATGAGGAACGTACCTGGAAGTGTGGGAGAGGCTTAGTTTCAGTGTCAGGGAGTAGTAGGGGGTGGTGGGGACTGTGGCAGAGTGGAAAGCAGAGACTGTGTTCTAAGGGACAGCTGCGGTGTGCCTCTAGTGGCCTTTTGTTATTTTTAAAAAGATTTTTATTTTTGTTTTTGAGAGAGAGAAAGCACACAAGGGGGGGTGAGGGGCAGAGGAGGAGAGAGAGAGAGAGAGAATGAATGAATGAATGAATGAATGAATGAATGAATGAATTCCGAGCAGGCTCCATGATCAGTGCAGAGCCCAGGGCAGGGCTCCATCCCACAACCCCGGGATTATGAGCTGAGCTGAAATCAAGAGTCCAACGCTCAACCGCCTGAGCCACCCAGGCACCCCTTTCTGTTGTTTCTTAACAGCAGCTTAATATTGTGGTATAATTCCTATGCCATACCACCCACCTATTTAAAGTGTGCGATTCAGTGGTGTCTAATACATTCCTAGGCAGGTGCAGCCATGACCACAGTCAGTTCTGGGGTGTTTTCATCACCTCAAACAGAAACCCCGGACGGTTGAGCCATCTCCTCCCTGCTCTTACACACACACACACACACACACACACACACACAAGAGTGTTGGACTTTGGCAAATGCTCTGTGTCTCTTGAAATATTGATGTGGTTTTTTGTTTTGTATTCTGTTGATATGATGAATGGCGTTAGTTGCCTTTCAGATGTTAAGCCAACCTTGCATTCTTGGGACAAGCGCTACTTGTCGTGACACATAGTTCTTTTTATATGGAACTGGGTTCCGTGTGCTAATATTTTGGCGGGTTTGTGTCGTTAAGAGTCGGAAGAGATGCTGGTCCGTGCTTTTCTCTTCTGTGATTTCTTTGTCCGGTTTGGGTATCAGGGTATCACTGGCCTCACAGAATGGCTTAGAAGTGTTTCTTCTTATTTTTGGAACAGTTTACATAGACTTGGTAATAATTACTCTTTTAAAAAAAAATAAATGTTTATTCATTTTAGAAAGAGAGAGCAGGGGAGGCGCAGAGCAAGAGAGGGACAGGGGATCTGAAGCGGGCTCTGAGCTGACAGCAAGTGAGCCCGATGTGGGACTCAAACTCATGAACTGTGACGTCATGACCTGAGCCAAAGTCGGACGCTCAGCTGACTGAACCACCCAGGTGCCCCGCTAATAATTACTCTTAAATGTCTGGTAGGATTAACCGGTGAAGCCACTGGGCCATCATCTTTCCTTCGTGGGTAGTTTTTTGATTATAAATTCAGTCTCTTCGTTTGTTATTGGACTATTCACATGGTTTCTTTCTGAGTCAGTTTTGGTGGCTTGGGTCTTTTGAGGACAGTTGAGGGGTTTTTTTTTTTGTTTTTGTTATTTGTTTTTACATTTTTTTCCATCTTCCAGTGGTCGGCCTTGGTCTTTACCTGTCTGTGGAGAGGACGCTTTTCCCTGGTATGGCCCTTCAGTGAAGGGTGAGGAAACACATCATAATGTTCCTGTTCCTCTCAGAGGCACAGTCTCACATGGCAGGACCTCTGAGGTGTGTGGCCGTAAATCAGAGCAAGAAAACATGATCTCTCAGCACCTGGGAATAAATGTGTGCTGCTAGAAGCCCGAGATCATAGGAAGCTGTCCCCTGAGCATTTTTGTTCCCTTTATAAAAGAAAGAGTAATTCCCTGGCCATCCCTCCTGCCATGTAAATGAGTGTTTGCTGTCACATCCTTCATATTAAAAGGAAAAGCTCAAATCGTAAATAATTCTGACTGTTTGAGATATGCCTTGCTTTGCTTTACTTCTGGAAATTAAAAATAACTCCCCTGTTATCAGGAAGAGGGAAGTTTCAGGGCCCCTGGGTGGCTCAGTCAGTTGAGTGTCCAACTTTGGCTCAAGTCTCCTAGTTCACTAGTTCGAGCCCCACGTCGGGCTCTGTGCTGGCAGTTCAGAGCCTAGAGCCTGCTTCAGATTCTGTCTCCCTCTCTATCTCTGCCCCTCCCCACTCGTGCTCGCTTGCTCTCTCTCTTTCTCAAAAATAAACATTAAAAAAAATAAAGAAGAGGGAAGTTGCAGTTCAGAAAAATGTACACAGTGCCAACAATACTTGGGGACCCCTTTACTCATATTTACCTCGCACCATACGTTTTGAGTAAGCCCTGAGGATAAACCTGCAGCCAGAGAGAGAACTTTCCTCCAAGAACAAATGCTTTGAAGAGCCCGTGTTGGACTGGGCCGCCTCTGTAGGTAATGAGTGCCCCGTCTCTGGAGGCAACCAAATGGGAGCTGGGACCCTTGTCTGGAAGACTAGAGATGGGATTTCAGCATCAGAGGCAAGTTTCCCCAGGCGACCTGTGAGCCCCTGTTCGGTCCTACAATTCTGCAGTTCCCTGTGCAGTCCCCCTCAGCAACAGATGCTAGGATTCTCCAATCAAGACAAATATTAATGTCCCCATTTTATAGACATTTTATAGGGCTATAGTAGAGCTATAGCCCTTCTCTCTTGCCTGTGGACTGGCCCTTTGCTCGCATGTCTCATTGCTTCATGGCCCTTATGGAATGGGACACGGTGCCCAGTGCAGACGTCCCACAGGACAAGTCTAGCACACTATGGGACGTACCAGCCGCAGCCCGTGTGACGGGCCCTACAAGAGTCGCTTTTGCCCCAGAAGGTGTCCTGAAGGCACCTTGAGCTCTGGCGTCTCTGCTTCCCATCACCTGTGCAGAGACCTCTGCACCTCGAGGTGGAGATTGGGATCCGGTTCCCCTTGCCTCTTCTGCAACCTGCCGGGGAAGTTTTTCACGGAGCGTTGACAATCTGTGACAGATCCTAGCAGCTTCTCTCAGACGGTTGTTTCTGAAGGACGTTTACACATTTCCTTGGCATTTTCCAGCTGCTAATTAGCAACATTCTCATTTCCCTTAATCACAGAGACAAGAAAGCCCACAGGAGTTTTTCAATTAGCTCATAGAAAATGTTTCTTTCTTTCCTATTGATACACATTCGGGATGCAAGAATGGCTTCTGGGTGTGTTTCGGCTTCTGAGCGTCTCTGGAAGGCAGCCGCGGAGCTCATGCACCGGGCCCATTGTGGAGGCTATTAATGTCCACACAATGCATAGAGGGCTGTGCGGAATTCTGCTCACACCCCCTAAAACTCTGCAAGGGGCCTTCGTTTCAGTTTTAGGTGGGTTGCCCCTAGGAGTGTTTACCCGAGTTAAACTTAGGGTTTCTTTCTTCTCACCGATTCTTTATATTTCAAACCAAGTCGTTCCAACAGAAGGATCTTATAATCATGCGATTATAAGAGCAGCGGGGAAGGCCCTACTGTGCGCCAAGCACTTTGTACCTTTAACTAACGCATTCATCTCACAAAGATCGGTGCCTGTCGTGGGCCTGGTCCCGGTCCAGGCACTGGGAGTCCGTGGGGAACACCTCATGAGCCACAGTGTTTCTGCCCATTTCCTTGGTCCCGTGATGCATAGCCGATCATGGTGACATTGTACGTCTGTGGAAGCGCGTCAGGAAGGAAGATGAGGCGGGTAGCAGGTGCGAGCCTCAGGGTTTGAACTTGGGTGTGTCCTGCTTTCCTCCTGAGTGTGACCCGTGGACACAGGTACCCGTCCCAGTCCTGGCCCTGCAGGAAGGCATAGGGCTGGATGGGGTCCCTGGCTGGATTTCCACCCAGCCTCCAAGCCAGGGTTCTTCTCGGTGTCTGTGATCTTCATGGGCTCGTGGTCACCCCCTCGGGGTCTCGATGGCATCCAGTCGGGGGCACAGACCCCAGTGCTTGCGTGGCACGGCCTGACCCACCGCACAACATTGACAAGCACGCTATATAATAGGAAGCGGGAGCTGATGGCTCCTGTGACGTGTGGAAATATTTATAGGGTCCTTACTCTTCTATGAATGCTACCCATCAAGGGACAAGTCTGAAGTGTGTGGGGGCCCAGGGAAGCGAGGAACCGGGATGATGCGGGCAGGCCCTCGGGGCCTGACGTGCGCAAGTAGACGTCACAGCTCCAGCCCACTCACGAGCTGCCTCTGGTGCCACTGACAGTGTCTTAATGAGCAGTAATGCATTCATCGCCTCTGAAGAGATGACAGGACTTTCCTCTGGGCTCAGTGTTCGCTGAAGTTCTCAGGTGGCACCTTCAACACTTGGAAATTAGAATTCGCTCTGGGCTTGGATTTTTCTCCTCCTCCTCTCCTTCATACTCGTGCCTCAATGTCGGTCAAGAAGCAAGTGGACCCAGAATGCCTGCAGAAACAGACGTGCACAGTCTAGAGTTTGCAGTGAGGCAGGCCCCCACTCTGCCTCCAGCTGCTTGGCAGGTCCCCCTGCTTCCCCCAGAGCAGCTTCTTCGTCTCCCAAGAGGCCTGGTGAACTCTCTCCCTTAAAGCTTTGTTCAGGCGGGGGGCGAGGCGAGCTGATGGGTGCCAGCAGGCAGGCCGGCCAGGCCACGCAGCGTCTCTGCGTCTGTCACCCGGAAGGTGGCTGGACCTCCAGCCTCTGGGAAATCAAGTGGAAGACGAATTGATTTCTCCTCGCCACTTTACGTCTTTGTTTAAAATGTGCAAAATGGTCCTTTTGAAGGAGAGAAAAAAAGAAAACGAGAAAGCTTTCCGTGCATTCCCCTGTGCGGGTCTTTCAGCAGCCAGTGCAACGTGTAATTTCTTCGCGCTGTGAAGGACACGCCAGGTCCTGACAGCAATAACTTCTGCAGGAGGATTAGATTGGAGTCTCGCGTTAGGCTTTCAAAGAAAGCTCTCATTTCTCTCTCAAGTTTTTAAATGAGTTTCTGTTGAGGGAAAGAGAATAAGCCAGGATGAATCGTCCTCGGCAAAACTGGAGGCCCCTGGTTTCCAGACCCCACTCCTCGGCCTGTATTTAATTCCGGACTCGTGTGGCAATGGCTCAAATTGCACAGGCATCGCTTTGGAAGGCGAGTGTGATTTCCGCCACGGGATCTTTGTTAACCGACTCTAAGTCATCGTGTGGAATAACTCAGGCACGCCTCATCTGGGTTGATGTGCCCTTGAGCTCAATGACACCGGCAGGGTTTCCAGCTTGGCCGAGCTTGCTAATGGGGCTGGGGCCTGCCTCAGCTCTGGCCTTTCCGGCCGGCCCTGCCCTCCTCCCCTGCCCACAGTTCCATTTTGGTTGCTCTGGCAGAGTGTGGCAGAAGGAGCCCTGAACTGGGAGCTTGGGCACCTGGGTTCTCTCCCCAGTGCTGCCCTTCCAAGGCTGGGTTCCCGTCCTGAGTGGGCCTCAGTTTCCCCATATGTGCTTTGAAGGAGTTGGATCACAGCACTTCCCAAAGAGATGAGGGTACATGGGGTTTGCAGACTTTTTTTTTTTCCCCTAGAATTTCTAGGTTTTAGCAAAGCAAAAAGTGAAGCTAAGGAAGCAAGCTGGAAAGTCAGGTTTCTTTGCCATAACTGCAGTGACCTAGAGCTGTGATCCTGGATCTTGACCTGATTGGCACATGTTTTTTGGTACTGTGCCAGGTGCCAGGCTCAGCCCTGAGGCTATAGCTGGCGAGAAGACAGCCTGAGGGAGGATGGACACTAGACCACGGTCTCCGTCATGGCCAAATTATATGCAGTAAAGCTGCACTAGGAGAAGTGAACAGAGGTAGCTCTTAGCTGTCTGGTCAGGGAAGACTTTTCTGAGGAAGGATGCTTGAACAGGGGCCTGAAGGATGAGCAGGAGCCAGCAGGTGAAGACAGGTGCAGGGGAAGAACCCCAGATCATTAAGATGGACTGTGTGGTCTGCAGGCAGGCAGGCAGGCCGGTGCTAGCTGGCTTTGAAGAACAGAGCAGAACTGTGGCTGGAGCCTGACAGTGGTGAGGGATCATGGTTTACAGTGACATTAGAGCCATGGGCAAGGGCCAGCTCGTGCCAGGTTCTTCCAGGATGGGCTAAGGATTTGGACTCATTCTCTGGGCAGTCTCTGAAGGATTTAGAAAAAAATTTTTAAATGCTTATTTATTTTTGAGAGAGAGAGACAGAGACAGAGTGTGAGCAGGGGAGGGGCAGAGAGAGAGGAAGACACAGAATCCGAAACAGGCTCCAGGCTCCGATCTGTCAGCACAGAGCCTGACGTGGGGCTCAACCCCACAAACCGTGAGATCATGACCTGAGCTGAAGTCAGACACGTAACCAGCTGAGTCGCCCAGGTGCCCCATTTTTTGAAGGATTTTAACCTGGGTATGATGTGATCATATTTGGCTATCTCATTAGGGTCAGAAATCTGCTTTTTATTTCCCCCACTGGTTCTTGATATTGAAATTCTAGCTTTGCAAGCACTGAACCATTCACTGTAAACATCCCCTGCCCCCCATGACTGTAACACCACAAGCTGCAGGCAGCAAAGCCAGGGTTAGAGACAGGAAGCACCGCTCTGGATTCACCCACCAGCTCTGTGGCTTACCCCACTTGCCCAGCCCCCAGACCACGTAGTTGAGATACATGCCTAAACAATACGACACATCACTGCAAGTGCATCCATGGCGTGGGAGAGTGATTATGGTGCAGTTTATTTGGGGAGAGATGCTTCTGAACGTGTGGTCCCAGGAAGCAGATAGGGAAAGAAGGAGGTTTAAAATTGGGGGTGGGGGGGGGTCTTTGCAGTGAAGACCGGAACACAGTAACCCGGGTGTGTCCATCTCCTCGGAATGTTCACAAGGTCTCTACTTCAAGCACAGCTGAGGCAGAGATGAATGAGACTCACAGAGCTAAACCTTGAGACTGTGGTGGCCTCTATGGTCTCTTGGTGGGTTCTGAGATTCTGCAAGGTCAGGTTAGGACTTCTGAGTGAGAGGTTTGTTTGGAAAGGAGCTATGTCATGCATGACACTCTTCTGTCACCAGAGCTGCAGAGGCAGGTGGCCTGCACAGAAGCTGGGAAATCCCGGGTTGGAATCCTCATTCTACCTCCGAATTGCTCTGTGCCCCGTGGCCATCGGCTGCCCTGCTTTAAGCAGCTTCCGTTTTCTCCTTCTCATAAATTGGAGTAAATGCTCTCGGAGATCCATCCCAGTTCTACCATTTTACATTTCAAGCACTTCCCCTGGCTGGCAGTGGGGGCTCATGGCGAGGGGTGGGCAGGGCAATGCTTGGGTTAGGATCTTCCTCTGAGCCCTGGCCCAGCCGTCTCCTGGAGATGGTGTCCCATGGGCAATGGGCTGATGCCATGAGCAACTGCAGGACTGAGCCCCACTCCAACCTTCCAGGTGTTCCCTTTGCTCCCGGGCGTGTCGACCATCATGATCCATGACCTGTGCCTGGCCTTCCCGGCCCCGGCGAAGGCCGATGTCTATGTCTCGGACATTCAGGAGCTGTACGTCCGTGTGGTTGACAAGGTCAGTAGCCACTCCCTAAAAGGCCCCTCGCTGCTGATTCACAGAGGCTGGGAGAGCGGTGTTTCTGTGGGAGTTATCTTCCTCATGCCCTGTTTCTGAGTCCCTGTACCCAGCTCCCCCTGCCCCCCCACCCCCACCCCGCCAAGTTGCTTTGAGCTTATGATGTTGTCTCACCTCTGTCGCTCCGCGTGTGTGATGTCAAGCAACCTCTGAGGTTATACTTCTTCCTGCCAGTTGACATCGGTAAAGCTCAATTGCGAATCCCGCCCGACGTCGTCTCCTCGTGAGCCCCGACTTGGGGATTCTCGGAGTTACTAACCGGCCAGGCATACCCCTTGCCGATGGTGAATTTTCTCCCTAGCGTGAGGGTTTTGGAATCTCATCAGCAAATGAGTAAAATGAACTATGCCAAGTGCTTTTGCAGAAGGAATGCGTAATAGATCTAGGCTTTTCTTTAATGTAAACAGGGAATTTTTATTACTGCGAATACCTGAAGGAGGTGCAGCCAGGCTTATAGAGGGTTGCTGTCAGGTTCCTATCTTCCTGACTGGAGAGAATGGTTAGTAATTAAAAGGGGAATGTTCGAGCAGCTTAGAGTGCTTGCAAAGCCAATATTCTCTCACACCGCCTCAAATGTTCCTTCTGTGGTTTTACTTCCACTGGTAATTTGCTGATCAGAGTTCTGCTTCTTCACTAAGCATTTCTGACTCTTGGTATCTTAAAGTTCTTACTGTATGTATTATATGGTGCCAGATGTGAGCTGTTCAGTCAGTGAGCACTTATGGAACTCCTACTGTATGCCATTCTGGCTGTGTCTGTTCACTCTAACTAGATTCTTAATTCTTTAAGAGCGGAGAGCGTAATTTTTGCATTTAAGGATCCCCAAAGCTCTTTGTGTGCAGTAAGCACTTATATAATTTTCATCTGTTGATTGGCTGATTGTCCAGAGTTCAAACTAGGTCTGTGAGTTTAAGGTTGATGACGCTTTCACAGAAAGCCTTAGGGTACAGTAGGTGATGAAACTGGTCATTCAAAGGCTACCCTGAGTTTCTGTCCCCTATGATGCAGGTGGAGATTGGAAAGATGGTCAAGGCATATGTCCGGGTGCTGGACTTTCACAAGAAGCCTTTCCTGGCCAAATACTTCGCCTTCATGGACCTGAAGCTCCGAGCAGCCTCCCAGATCATTACGTTGGTGTGAGTCCTCCTAGGGGTCAGAGGAAGGCATCTCAGGGACAGGACTGGCAGGTCCAGGGGAGAAGTCCCAGCCCTTCCCTCTGTTCCAGGGCCCTCGATGAAGCCCTTGATAATTATACCGCCACGTTCCGTGTCCACGGTGTGGCCATTGGCCAGACCAGCCTCACCGCAACCGTGAGTGATAAAGCTGGACAGCGAATCAACTCAGCCCCGCAGCAGATTGAGGTAAAGCTATTTCCCTTCCCACCTTCCTGTGTGGGATCAGTCCAGCACTTACTGCATGCGTGCACGGGGTGGGAAGTGTGTCATTTCTGTGGTGGGCCAGGAGTTATGGGGGTAGCCCAGGAAGCTGCCATGGAGAAACCGTGTTAAAATCTATGCCCTGCGATGTCCCCTGATTAAAAGGGAGCCATCACCAGTCCCAGGGATCTGGGGAGGCAGCTCCAGAGGGAGGAACCTGAGTGATTTTTACCTCCCTCTGGGACAGAGTGGGCAGGATGTGGCTCAGAGAAAGGAAGCCGCTCGTCACACAGCCGGGGAGTGGAAGAACACTCTTGAAACCCTTTGGTGCCAGAAGGGAGCGGCTGGGTAGAAGCTGTGGGCAGATTTAGGCTCCTGTGTGGAAGCCCATCTTGACAGTCGGTCTGAACCCGCCCTTAGAAGCAGTGCGCTTTTGTCGTGAGCTCCTGGAGCAAGCAGGTCCTGAGTGAGGGAGCTCTGGGGCACCCCGCGGTCATCTCAGTGTGTGACTTGGGACTCGTCTTGTGGCATTGGGTGTTCACACAAGCCTCCCAGACCCCATTGGCCAAAATTTCCCGTCCAAGTTTTTCCATCAGCTGCTTGCCTCCTGCCAGCGTCCTCCACGGGTCTCGTCCACCCAGGGGCGGATAGACTTTATATTAAACTGTGCAGGAGCTGGTGGTTCTGGTTCGTGCCTCTAGAAGGAAGGGCTCCTTTCTTCTGGTGAAGAATTCATTTCTGCTATAAATAGCTCAGCCCTGCGGAGACTAATCCTGATGCACAAAGCAGCCCCTCGGCCGACCCCCGACCCGACCGCCACACTTGTTCACTGCACAGGCTCTTCCTGTGCTCCTGCCGGGCGGGCACTGCGGGGGGTGCAGGACGATGGTGTTGGGCTTCTTTGTGCTGCAGAGACCAGGACATCCTTGTCCTTGATCCCCCACACCCCTCTTTCTTCATCTGAGAAGTTTTGAGGGCATCGAAGTAGAGCACTATTCTCAGGCAATTTATCAGTAGAAATTGGAGAAGTTCAGTGAAACGGAACATCTTGAAGGCACTGGAATGTAAACCTTGACGTGCATCGGAATCCCCTGGAGGACTTGTTAACACATAGATTTCAGCCCCCCCCCCCC